AGCTTTTCCAGAGTTGTTTTCCCAGTAAAGGCTCAAGCACTGTCCTATAGTTGGAGCTAGGCTGCCTGATGCTGCCAGCGTGAGGATGCATCTGTCCTTGGGTGTTCAGAGAGCAGCTGCAGATTTGCATGTGCTGGCTGCTTTGCTGTTTGCCCGACTGTGCTAAGTGGCTTTGGGTGTGGGAGCGAGAACAATTCTATCTGCCCTCCAGAAAGCAGGGATAAAGGAGAGGTCTTTCTTTACCCCCTTCTCGCCTCCTCATCCTGCCTGCCAGACCGCCAGGTGTAGAGGCTGGAGGGCTGAAGCGGAACAAAAAGATACATGAAACTCACTGCGAGTGCTGTTTCCGTCATGCAGGCTGTAGTGTGGCCGTGTCCTCATTTTGAAACTAAAACGTAACAGCAGCTCTCAGTTATACTGTACATGAGACCTTGCACTGGATTTGCGTCTTCAGATTGTTCCAGATGAGTCAAGGTGAAAACAGCCTACAGTACATTGCACTTCACGTTTCAGATGTATCTGCTACGTGTGTTGTACATAGCAACTCATACCATAAAATACATAGCTTCTTTTCCAAATGAAAGGAGTTGCTAAACATGAGTGCATCGCAAGGGTTCAAGGTTGGCCACATCTTTCTAAAAAACGAAGTTGTAACCCCACCAGGAGTCTGTGGCCTGTTGCACATATTGCTGGCTGACACTGCAGTTTTGTGTGCCAAAGGCTGGTCCAGGTGGTCAGAGCACTGCATTCCAGCCTCAAAACCTGACCGTGCTTAAGTTTCCTGAGGGGCTCACTGTAAAAACAGGAGTGAATCCTTTAGAGACCATCAACTTAAACTCCTCTTCAACACACCAGTACATTCTGGTGTGTGTGTGTGTGTGTGTGCGTGCGTGCATAAATGCTTGAACATATGTAAATGATTTTACTGCCTACTCGAAGAAGAAGGTGTAAATTAACCCATCAGCCCCTCTTCTTTGTACTTGTTTTTGCTCTCCAAGAATGTAAAGGAACAGAGATTTCTTCTGCAGTCCAGATGGTTATCAGCCCGTGCCCCTGGAGTGTGAGAATTGATCGCTCTTGGCATTTATAAGCTGGCTGTTGTAACAGGTGTTAGAAGCAGGACTTCAGGTGAGGAACAAGCAACACAAGTAGATCATTTACTAAGACACCAGTAGACTACTAAGTGCTCCAACCTGCAGCATTAGAAAGGGGAGCAGGAATTTAGCTCCCTGTTTAATGCATATGAAGCTATCAGATCATAAGTGCATCTGTAAATCACTGTAGTTTACTATACAGGAGATAGTGTGTGGAAGCTGATAGAAAACAAACTAGAAACTGTGCTGGGATCTCTCAGAGACGGATTTTGACAGTGTACGTGGCTCTTTTTAATCTGCTTTCAGTTGGTGAGTTCAAGAACTTTTCGTTAGTGTTTATTTTTACATAGAGATGGAGACTGAAGTTGGGAACGCTTGCCAGATCTGAACTAGTAGAGCAGTGGCAGAGATGGGAACAGTGCCAGGTTTGACTCCCAAGGCAAAATTCGCCCTCTGCAGTCCGTGCCACACTGGCTACCGAGGGGGCAGGCTGGCAGAGAGGCAGAATCCGCTGTGCCTGATCAGCACCTACTGAAAGCAGCAAAGCCTTCCCGCTGATTTGCACAGTCAGTCCACCAGGCAAAACCGCGACCTCATTTTGAAGCACTCTTTGCTCACTTTATTCTGCTTGGTAAATATCTTTGTTAGTTCAAGACAATGCTGTTAGCTTTCACAGAGAAGAAAACTGGAGAGATAAAAGAGCCCATTTTCCTCCACCGTGGGTATGACAATAAAAGAGAAGATGGAGAGGGGAAAATAAAAAACAGCATCCAAAAAAGAAAAAATAGTATAAGCAGGATTAGTTTTCTTTCATGGAGAGTATAGAAAAGCATTTTCAGGACCTACTGATAGCCATTTATGCTGTGCTGTAAAATCCGTTCAGCTGCAAAGCCAACCCTCTCATGCCCTTGTTTTCACAATACCAACAGCTTCTTTGTAAGAAAGGGCAGAGAAGGTGGCATACAAGTTTAGCAAATGCAGTACTGCACATGAAAGAATTATTTATGAACGACAGTTTCTGAAGCACTTTCGGCAGCGCTGGTGTGCACCCTGAGGAAAGCCTCCCGTGACTGAGCTGATTCAGCCTCGCAAAGCAAATGGGCATGCGCTGGGGACAGGCAACTACAGAGGGGTTTGTGGAGAAACCAACTTCCCGGGAAGGTGACATGGCAGGGAGAGAAGGAAATGAGTGGCAATCTGTCCAGGGAAAAGCAGATAACATATTTTATAGCACTTCATATCTTCAAAACACAATGCAAGCATTGAATTATGGTATCACCCCATGGGTGGAGAGATCTAGCTCCTCCACCCCCTCACTTTAGCACTAGCCAAACTGAATTAGAATGGCTGCATGCCCATTTTCAGTAACCAGAAGTCAGGCAGACCTAGGACATAATGCTTTTTGGCCTTTTTTTTTTTTTTTTTTATGAAGACTCTGTCTCCCCCTCTCACAAGCTACAGAGATGCTGCTGAAACCCAGCAGAGAGCTGAAGGGCACTATGAAGCGTTGTGTCTCCTTTCTGAGTTGCCAGCACTGCACACCTGGCTCTGTAGGCTGTTTGGTGTCTGGCACTGATCAATCGAAACTCTGTTAGACATGGTACTTTGAAATTAATTGAACGAATATAAAAATATACTGTCAACCAGCACATAGGAAGTCAGGATTGATGTTTGTACAGGGAGTGATTTATGTATCATGTTGTTATCAGTAAGGGAGCATGCAGATCATGTGAAGTTATCATACAGCTCTGTTCATTGCAGCCTGATTTTCCCAGCAATGTTTTGTTTCTTGCCTCATCTTGTGAAGTGTGCATCAAAACTCCAGCTAGATTTCCACATTACAGCATTCCTTTGGGCAACTTACTGCTTGCATGGCATGGCAAAGGGGGAAGATAGAGGCAGAAGCCATGCATGAGCATTTCAAACTCTTCTCATATGTTTTATATACCTTTCACAAGTTGTGGTCTGGCTGCATTGCATTTAACTTCTTTCTGTTTTACCTCGCTACAGTCAGTGTACATCCTGCCCAGCAGTAGACTGGAATCTGCAGTGTGTTTTCTGCAGGAATAAGTTTGACATTTTAGATGACAGTTTGTATGTCTCTGCACTCCCTTTGAAAGGAACGAACCTACAGAAAACTCTGACCTCAGCTATCAGATCCCAATTCAATTTGAGGGGAAAGAATTTAAGTCTTTCGTAAATAAGTAAATGCTACTTCTTATGTCTGTGTGGCACTGTGCTACAGGGGTAGTTGGAAGCTGATGGAAACTCTTGCAGCTGCTATGAAGACATCCCTTCCTCAGATCAGCCCTGCCCCTTTTTCAGGCTCGATCTCAGTGCCTGCTCCAGCTCAGATTCAGTTCTGTGTGCAGCTGTGGTGCTGGGACTTTCCAAAGCCTGTCTGGGAATCTGGCATAGCAGCAGAATGCAATTTACTCTTGCTAAAACAGAAAACAGGGTTGCCTATCTGTTAAAGCAGTTAAAAAAAAAAAAAAAAAAAGCAAAATAAAACAGTAAAACAGTACAAATCTCCCAGATTTCTTTTAGGACTCAGTAAGACGAGGGTAATCAGATTTCATAGAGTGGTGTGCCAGGAAGGAAATTTTTTCCCATGTGCAGCATACAATCAGCCAGGTGCAATATGAGGAAGGGAGGTTCGTCTTCCTCTGAAGCATAAGGTATTAGCCCCTGCCAGAGGCTGTGTACCAGAGATCTGATCAGATATGGCAAATTTGATGTTCCTATGCACAGTGTGAAGCTTTCATTTCTACGCAACACATTGTAACAAGTTAAACAATGAGTCATCTCAGGAGGGGGGAAAAGGAAAGAAAGCTTTTATCTCCCAGTGGATTTGAGATAATCTGTCTACCTAGGTATAAACAGCACTTCACCGTGATGTCTTCTCTCCAGGAGAAGTAGCTGGTTTTAATCTGACTGTAAAACAGATCTTGAATTGTCACACTTACCTCTCTGCCTGGGCCCAATGAAGGTGGCTGGCAAAAGATCTTTGACTTTCATGGTAACTTGATTGGGCCCCGGTGGCTAAACTACGGGCTGTATGTGCTGCATGGGCTGTTTGGGGGAAATGGAGTGCCGGCCTCTCCTTGGAGGTCTGGAAAATCTATGCCTAATGCAACACCCCTGCTACTTTGCAATAAAGTGCCGTACCACCTTCATATGGTCAGAGCTGCACTGGCGGTACATTACTGCTGTACAGGAGGCACAATATGAAGCAGTACTAAAGGTGCCAGAGCCTCAGCACTTACTTCCCTCTCCAGTGTGGGAATAGGAGCTACGAGCCTAACTGCATCTGCGGGAGGGGTGTGCTGGTGTGAAGGCACCTCTCTGAACAATACCCACTTACACATACACTGTTAGAGAGGCTATGTGCAGCAGCCCTTCTTTACAGTCCACACCCATCTACAGGGAAGTACAGCCAGAGGTCTCCTGCATCTGATTGCTCTTTGTTATGCTTGATCTGTTGCTTTATGAGGGGCGTGAAGAGAGGGCACTCCTCTCTTCTAGGAGAGGACACACACCAAGGATGGATGGAGCCAACAGCTTAGCCTCCTGCCAGCTCCACACCTCGGAAGGAGCAGGTTGGGGACAATTCCATCTCACAGTGGGCACTTGGAATTCGGTAATATCCGATAAGCTTTGGGGGATGCTGAGCCAGTTCTTGATTTTCTGAATGTCCAAAACAAACCGCGATGCCTAAGCTAATAAAGTGTTGCACAGTCCAGTGCTTAGTGTAATCCTACATTACCATGGCATCCCTCTCCCACACCTTGCTCAGAGACTTTGCATGTTAGGATGTGGGGAGAAATGGGGTTTCACTGGTGTTTGCCTATATTCCCATGCATTGTCTCAGTTTTGTAACGCAATCATGGTCTCTTCCTGCCGCAGGTTTGCAGCCCGTTTACTGGAGCAGGGATGATGTGGCACAGTGGCTCAGATGGGCAGAGAAGGAGTTTTCCTTGAGGCCGATTGAGAGCAACACTTTTGAGATGAATGGCAAGGCTCTGCTGCTCCTGACCAAAGAGGACTTTCGATACAGGTCTCCTCATTCAGGTGAGGATTTCTTACTGAAGCAATGACTGAAAAGAGAGAAGAAGCTGCAACAGCATCTGGAGAGGGACGGAGGAGGATACAGAGTCATATTTGTTAGGGTGGACTGGGCCAGGGAGGAGAGAAGGGACAGAGCTGCTTGCTTGAATGAGGCAAGGACAAAAAGGAACAATGTGGAAGAGAAATCCAGATACACCTGAGTTATAGGCAAATTTGAATGCAACTCTAAAACCAAAAAATGCAACCTGTTTCTCATTAAAACTCCCTGCAGAACTCCACAGAAAGCAAGCTTCTCTGGCAGCACTTCATGACTTCCAGCTCTTTCCCATAAAGGCTTATCTTTTCATAGACCCAACTACAGCAGTAAGTTAATCAAGTGCTCCAGCCTCTTAAGAAGCCGGTATTAGCATTCTGCCTCACAGTTGGCTTGGCTGATGTGCTGCTAAAAGTGACTGCAAAACTTATCCTTGGGGGACCTTTCCTCTATTTTACAGCCCCTGTGGGCTTTACTTTACTTCACCATATTCGCTCACATGCTGGAGTCTGGCCCAAGGCAGAACACAGGCAGGTGTGTGAATCAATCAGCTTATTGCTCGAATTATGTCTTCATTTATTCACAAAGAAGATTTAGAAATGTGTATGTGGATGGCCTGTATTTATATCCCCTGTGGTCTGTCTGCTCCAGCTTTACAGTCAGAGCAAGCCACTGCCCTCCTTTGTCAGGGATGTTTAACTGAAAAAGAGTTGTGAGCTTTTCTTATGACCATACAAGGTACTCCTGTTAAATAAAAAGGTTTGTAATTCAGTCACTGTAGGTTATCAAAGAACTTGGACCAAATGGTTGCAGAACTGCTGTTATGAGGCTTCCTCATAAGGCTCACTCAGCACAGAAGTACAGCTGGTGCTGCTTGGCTGTGGCTGATAAACAAGCAGTGGCACTAATTCTGCGTCAAGCTGCTTGGTGACTCCCTCAAACACACCCCTGCAGCCATCCTCCTGCAGAATCTGCCTCCCAGACTATAGCTTACATTGATTCTATACAAAGTTTTCAAGGCATGTGCTTTAAATGAAGACTAAATTTATATGGAAGGAGATGCCAAACATACATGTCTATCACCACTATAATACATTAGTGAAAACTGATGCTTGGAAACATCCTCTGTTCAATATTGGTACACCATTTTGAATCATTTCATTATAAAATAACCCTGCCTTAAGACAAAAGGAGTACTGAAAGTGAGTAAGGACAGTAAAGGACAGCTTTGTGTGTATCTTGTTTGCTACTCCTCTTAACATCCCAGTGCCTTGCTGCCTACAAGTTATGCCTCGACTCTTCCCTTTGTGTGCTGTGATGGCACTTGAAATGAGTAGGATTAAAATGTTTGTAGGCTAGAGACAGAGCATTCCCAGAAAGAGCCTCTGGCTTTTAAATATACTCAGTGCAAAAGTTTAAACTCTTGTTTACCTAAATTTGGGTTTAAATGGCCTCTACCCTCTCTTTTTCTCTGCTCTTTTTCTCTTGGTATTCCCTAGTGAAAATAAGCATTTTAGAGGATATCTCAGTAAGTCCCTAAAAATGTGAGTGACTATAGGTAAAGGAAGATTACCTCAACATTTCCCAGAAACAAACTACATGTTACATACGAAGTCGAAAAAAAAATAAAAAATGAAATAATGCTTGCCATAGAGCTTTAAGTTTTTCAGGAGTGTAGGTACATAAAAGCTGTATCCTTTCCACTCATGGTTAAACCAGTAGAACAGCATCCACTCCCCCCAGTGGTCCTAGCAATAAAGTGGGCTCACAGCCCCACAGCTGTTCTGTTTAGTGCTGGTGAGGGAAGGGGAGAGAGCAGAGGAGGGAGAGAGTGAGAAGAGACTTCTCACTTTTGTAGCTAGTACAATTGCATCTTTATAGGGCATAAATATAACTGTTTTATTAGGTAGAAAAAGACTGCCAGCTGTATGAACATCTTCACTAATCTGACAGGCCAAACTGAAAGAGGTACAAATTTGCTACCTTATTGCTTGGAGTGTTACAGCACTAGTTATGATTATGCCACTATTGCATTCAAAGATGCAAATTATGTGGTAAAATCACTTTTTAGACTTTCATGTACTAAACATGGAAAAGGTAACTGGGTTCTTGAGGCTTTGTTTTTAATTAGATATTCAGGTATTACAATCACCTCTTTAAAATGCCCTAAAGTCACTGCTGAGACAGTAAAAGCAGCCAAGATGCTAAAAATAGAGGAAGCTGAACTGTGGAAAGCAGGATAGCTTTAACTATTTCATGCTAAGACACCAAACTTCTCAACAAGTAGAACATTGGCAGTTTATAGAGAAAACAACTGAATGGCACACAGCTTACAGTCTCATAGGAAAAATTACTAACCCCACACACACTTGAGAAAACTCTCCTAGAAAATCCAAGGTTTCCTAGTTGAAACTTCACGGAGTTCCTTTTCAGATAATATGCTTCTGCTGTAACCTATTCGTCTATACTATGAGGTATGACAAACAGAGGAGAGGAGGCAGAATTAAAAGCTGGGTGACTTCCTACGCTGTGTACCTTTTTACTTTGAAATGTGCAACCGGTTACGTTACACAAAACGTGTAAGTACCTAGGTATTTCATGTAGATGTTACTGAAAGGAGGGCATCAGTACCAGATGTAATACTTAAGACACAAAGCACGCAGTTAACACATTGGTCTCCTAGATAACTACAATGAAGTGTTCCTCTGAGGAAGGATATAACAATTCTGGTGACAGGGAATGGGAGGAAGAAGCAAGGAACAGTCTGCTTGCACCCCTAAAAGAAACAAGCATTTGGATCAAGTCATGTCAGCTTGGTGTAGTAGAATTTACTGCAGACACTTTTGTGGAAGAGTGATACAATAGCAACTAGCAGACCCTATTTGCCCATCCAGAGCACCAAGTCCTCTGCATTAAGCTCCTTTGTATGCATCATATCCCTCTTCTAATATTGCCTGGTACAGTGAGCCCTATACAGATTCTAATATCAAGAAATAACTAGTTTTGGGACCCCATTTGGGCTTTCCAGAAGTCCATCCTGGGATGCCAAGAATGATGTACAGAAGTTCCTAAAGCAGCTGTAGCACTCAAGTATCTCCAGAAGTTGTCACCACAGCAAGGGAGTTCAGGATTGTTAAATCTTGTCTTTTCAAGTCTCTGAGTTCACCCCAAAGTATCTGATCTCCTAGATTGGAGTAGCCAGTAGCACACTGCCTCAGCACTTGAGGCAAGTGTTGCATGGAAAGGCTTTACAAAATCTTCTTCCTCCTTGCCTCATGAAGCCTAAATCAGTTAGTAATTAGGGAAAAACACCACATTTGCTCCCAGCGACTCACTGCATAATCATGGGTTCTGTAGTTAAGAATTATGTGTCCTGAGGTGTCTTAGTTAAAAAACTGAGGCTTTGATGAGAGAAGGTGGGACACTGCTTGTAAAGGTTTGGAACTCCTGGACAGGCAATTATGTAGCCTGAAAAGGCCCTGTATTGAGATTATAAGAGACTCTTCTCACACTCCCATTATTCCACAGTCATACACAGAGGTGTGACACGTGGCTTTTCTTTTTCTTTTTTTCCTTTCAGGGACGAATGTTGCAAAACAGTCAACTGCAGGATTTTACTTCAGGCATGTTTGCATCTGAAAATAGCACCCATGAGCCATGAATTCATACATCAGATGGCTAAATGAGTCTTCTCAGCAGTATGTAGGTGTTCATTTCCTTTTTCCTGCTGTTTGTCTTTCAGGCGATGTTCTGTATGAACTCCTTCAGAATATCCTGAAGCAAAGGAAAACTCGTATGCTGTTCTCACCTTTTTTCCACCCTGGGAACTCAATCCATGCTCAGCCAGAGGTCCTATTACACCAGAACCATGATGAAGGTAACTCTGTCTCATTCTTATGGGAGCTATTATTATAGAGGCCACTTGAGTAAGGCTGTGAGGAATGATGTCATTTTCTTGTTCCAAAGTTACTTAAATAGAGCTATTCTCCTCCCTTTGTCTTGATAGCTGTTAACAATCACCTGGTCTAGGGAGTCTACTATCTATTCTCCATTTATTTTCTATTATTCAGTCCTGCATCCAAAGCCTGCTTAAAAGCTATGCCAAATGTAGTTTAAAAAAACATGCCAGAAAGTTTTATTGACCCCATTCATTTCTCCTCATTCTCAGTTGGGTAGAAAAGGTGCATCATGGACTTTTAGTATCCTGTAGGTTCAACTAGATGCAATTGTTCGCAGAGCAGGAGAAAAGGCAACCTCAGAGAGGAACGTCTAACTCAAAGTTACTTCAGATGACAATCTGTCGGCATGCTATTCCTGGCACTGAGCCCATCCTGTTGCTCAGCTTTTGAAATGATTGAACAATTAATTTTGAGAAAAGTTTTTTGTTTTTTTTTTTCCCTGCAGGTTTTCTTTCATTTTTACCATCAGAAGTATTTGTTTAGTTTATTAGTTAGCCTTCTAGTAGTGTCCACACATACCATGCCTGTCATAGGAGGTGAAGAAAGAATAGATACGTGATTGGGGCATTGCAGATTTGGGCTTCCTTTATTCAGTATCAGCAGAGATCAAAATATAAGTATGTTTCCTTTAGTGGAAATTTTAGTTTTTATTTTTCTGGAAATAAACACACCAAAGAACTTCCTGGTTATCTCCAAACCCAGAAAAATATAAAGCTCAAGCTTTTCAAGAGGTCCTTTCAATGAAAGCACCAAATAGATTTCTTTTTTTTTTTAAATAGAAAATTAAATATATGAAAAATTAGTGTTTTTCCTTTTTTTAAATGAGGAGGATTAAAAACCAGAATTGGGCTAGGGTATCTCCCTATTCTCTGCTCAGTGGAGAAAAGATACACAAATTGTCTCAGAATTCAACATGGGATTGCAAAACAAGATTCAGAGGCACTGTCAGACCTGTACAAGGAGCCCATAGCCAGCCTGAGCAAGTCAGAATCAAAGGGCACCAGCAAAACTTTGAGACTAAGCCAAGAGCAGGACAGCAGCAGGTGGGATCAGGACACTCCAAAGCATTTCCACACAGCTGTGTAAATATTTCAGATTAGAAGAGGGTGCTGCAGGTTAGGATGAGATTGAATTGGCAAAGCTGTGCAGGAGAAAGTTGCCTAGTGTTTCAAGATAGGCATTTTGCAGCAGCCGTTATAAAAACCTCTATTTTTTTCCTGAAGTTTGACATTCACCCATAGTTTTCAGTTTTTAAATTTCAAACAGAAATACTAGCTGCCCTCTCAGACACCCATGCATTAAAGATACAGAGCAGCTGAACAAAATTGTTGAGTTTCAAACTAGAAAACCCAGAGGATTTCTGGGATGTTGAGTTGGTCTTTCACATGTCACTTAAAACATAAGCCCTTTGAATTCTTGTCCAACTTCTGACAGAGTACAGGATGCTTAAGAAACCATTCTCATTTCTCCTTCATGATATTCTCCTTTGTGACTACTAATAGTACCACTATATTTTTTGAGAGATATGTACTGTTACTTAAAACTTTCCGTACAATAACAAAAAATAGTTTTTGTTTTGGTACAAGAGGAACTTCAAAACAAACAAAAAAGACCACAGCTTGCCTGCCACATCCTCTGACCAACCAGAAAATCTTTATGCCAAAAATGTATAGGCAGGTGAATTTATTTATGTACTTTGACATTCCCTTTCTTCCTGTTCCACAAAGTCACGTGGGAGAAACTAGCACAATTAAGTTTACCGTTTTCCCTCAAGGGAATGCAACTTAGTTTAAAAAAATAAATAAATAAATGTGAGAGGCAGAGCTAAACCCTGCCTAATTTACAAACTGAGCAGAGGGGTCAGGTGTTTGTTTGGCACAATTATGAGTGGTTAAATTTCAGAGAAGATTTTTTAGAGTCTGTCCTTACTGCAGTGACCTTTTTCATTTTCCTCTTCTGGCTTTCTTGATAGATTATACAATACATTCATGATTCTGCTTCTAAATGCTTCAAGCATTTAATCCATCGTTAATCCAGAATCATCTGAGTCTGGATCAACATTTACATCTAATGTTCTTTTACTAACTCAAGCAAAGTGAGCTTGACTGAAAGCAGTTGACCTTTGAGGATATCTCCAAGGTGCATTGGCATTGGCTTGGAATCTGCCCTCCAGGCTTCAGTTTCTGGCCCTATAGAGGGATGAGCAATGGAGAGTGAATTATCTGCATCGCCAGTGGTCTTTCTGATGCAGCACTGAGTCATTTGATAGGATGCCATACAGGAAGCTTACACTGTCATTCCCTGCACTTCTTTTATGGGTAAGCACAGAGTGCCAGTCTTTGGGACTGCCACTGCAGTGACTGCTCACATCCACAGTGAGTGCAGCCCCACCCATCCCTGTGTGGATCGGATAGGTCAGCAATTTTCCTGAGCAACGATTTCCCTTTCACAGATTTCCCTTCAAGAAAAGACTGTTGGTTGCTCAGAATGAAGAGCCAGACTGAGGAATTAATCTATTCCTGCAGGAAATGATACACCATATGTGCTCGACTCACAGTCATCAGATGTGTGAAGGAATTAATGTGATGAGGATTTTATTCTGTTCAGGGCCATTTGTGGCAATGGAACTGCTTGGAGCTGAGTTTGAGTTTGGGTTGTTTTGTGGTAAAACACTTTCTCTTGTCCTATCCTGGCTCAGGATCACCATGGTTTGGAATTGGAGAGAGAGGTCTGCTTCTGTCTGGAGTTTGTCAGAGCCAACTAATGTTTGCAAAGAGCTCAGTGGAAAGCACAGCAAGACAATCCTTTCTGTTTTCAAGATAGCTGCTCCCCACAGACACGTCACTTCAAATAAGTAGGACAAACAGTACAGTATTCTGGTATACACTTACAGGCCAGGAATGAGCAGCGTGTATTTAAAAGTACAGTGACAGGAGTGGATAGTCTGCAGAAGATAGGACACTGATCACAACTTGGGGGGGAAGGGTATGAATACTTTCTGCTTTCTTTCAGTTGTGGCAAAGACTTTAAGAAATGACTGTCAAAGAGGTAGGTGCAGTTGTAGATTAATTCCTTTTCTTTGATCTTCACATCATTTTGGTTATAACATACTAGCTTGCCACTTTGTATTTAAAGCTGTTTGTGTTTAATCGAGAACAATACATGTCTCTGGAGTTTCTTTTCCTCCAGGTATTTCATTGTGAGTTTCTTAAATAGCTCTACAGATGTATTTTTCTTGTCTGGGACCTCAAGCATATGAAATAAGTGTTCTGAAGCCATGAAATTTTAGGTTTTCCTGGAGCCTTCAGTGTCCTTGTTTAGATGAGCAGTCTGTTGAGTAGGGGTAAAAGAGTTAATAGGAAAGCTGGTACTGTGTCAATGCCTGGCACCGCATTTTCTCAGAACTAGAGCTTTTCCTGTCCATACCTTTCTCTAGGTACATGTTGGTCCTGCTCCTGCTGCCTGCCTGGGTTCCTGGATGGCAGGAGCCCCTGGATTTCCTGCACACCTCTACAGGGTCTTCAACGGGTATCACTGCCTTGGCAAGAAAGCAAGAGAATCGTTTTTTACAGAGGATCAGAGCAAATGTAGTGAACAAACAGGCAGCCACAAATATGCAGCTACTTGTTTCAATTGTTGACATGTACCCAGCAGTTTCCTTCTGTTATCATCCAAGGCTTTCAACAAACAGCATTGAAATTTGATCTTTGTTTTTCAGATAAAAACCTGTTAGTCAGTGCTCCCTGGTGGTATTTTCCTCTCTGTCAGTAATTTCCCCAGTCAAAATTGATGGCCTTAGCTAAGCTGAAAGTGTGCACTGTTCATGCCAAACATTTCATTTTGTGAGGGGATTATTAGTGTCTAAAGACAGTGATCCAGATACATGATTTATCCCCCCCTAACTGTTAGGAATCACAGCCAAGGAAGTATGGCCATGCAAAAGTGACACTGGAAGTCGTCCTGCTGAAGAAATATAAGAGCTTATGTGGGACAAGGCAGCACAAGCTAACTCCAGCAAGTTGAAAATATCCATATGAAGTTGTTAACACTTTTAAAATCAAGGCAGGGATACAATTTAGCTAGCATTTCATGAAGAGCGGCCTACCAGTGAGTTTTCTTGGATAACCCAGTCCATATTTCACACTAAGATTCTGTGCCCTGACCCAAATCTCTAGCATCCCAAGCTTATCACTCAGTATTTTTCAGGAGACATTTTTCTTTTTTTATCTCTGTCCTCTACCTTGCAGTGCTCATTGTACAGTAACAGGAACCACACATAGAGATGTGAATGACAGGATGAAAGTTCCAAAGCAGTTGTACAGAAATACAGTTAGTGTAGCTAGATCAGCTCTTACTTTCTTCACAAGTGTTCCAGTCAGCTACTCAAAATGGGATTTCTCTTAACACATTTCCCCAGGAGCTACTCATATGTGGTGGTGGATGGAGATTGTTTTTGTGGTACTGATTTTGTTCAGTATAGTAACAACTATCTACATTTACATGGTATTTTTCAGTGGATCTGTAAGTCACACACAAAAAAAAACAAAAACATTTTCCAGCTAATAGCAGTACCCAGTAAATCCAGCTAGTAGTTTAACAGTTAGATCCTATAGCTTGATCATGATATAAACTCTATTTTTTTTTTGTTTGTCTCCACAGATAACTTTGTCCAGAGACCTTCAAGACCATCCACAGAAACAGTCCACCACAGTACCCCAACCATTGAACTGTTGCATCGTTCTAGATCACCCATCACCAACAACCACCGTCCATCACCAGACCCCGATCAGTGGCCACTGAAGTCCCCTATGGACAACACTATCCGTCACCTCTCCCCAGCTGACAGAATGCCAGGGTCAAGGCATCAGCAAGAGAACAACCACCAGGAGTCCTATCCTCTCTCAGTGTCCCCAGTAGAAAACAACCACTGCCCGCCTCCTCCTGAGGTGCTCCAGAAGCCTTCCAGCCCTCGCCAGGAGAACACCAGGGTCATCCAGCTGATGCCCAGCCCTATCATGCATCCTTTGATACTGAACCCCAGGCACTCCGATTTCAAACCTCCAAGGTTGTCTGAGGATGGGCTGCACAGGGAGGTAAAGCCAATCAACTTGTCCCACCGAGAAGAGTTAGCTTACATGAACCACATCATGGTGTCTGTATCCCCTCCTGAGGACCATGCAATGCCAATAGGAAGAATAGCGGGTAAGTGACATTTTCTAGGCTACACCAAAGTTGACACTCTTCATTCATAACTTAAGATACTGTGTGTTAATAGCTTCTCATTTCCTTTTGCCACTCTGCGACCTCCCTCAGAAATTACTGGCATTCTTCAAGTTTCACCACATCTGTGGTTTAGGCAGTTAAGTATGATTAAACCAGTTTCATGGCAGGTAAGCAAAGATGCAGTGACATGCTTGTGACCATGGAATGCATGATTAGTAACAGTGAAACACTTGTGTCCTGACACTTAATGCTTCTTTACCCACTAGCAATCCATTTATTTCCCAAGATACCTATCTCCAAAGGCTTGTCCTACAAAGAGTTTTTCAAGAGTTGCATTCACACTAGTGTTGAGCCCTATGGAAAGGCAAACACCTTCTGTCGGTTGCCTTTGAGACAATACAGTGTCAAGCCTGCTATGATAGAGATGGTGGGACTAATGAAAGCTCACCTCAGAGTCCTACCTTGTAGGCTTTCCTGTGCTTCTTACGCTAGGATTGTCCCTTTTTACGGAAACAAGGTTGCCTTTGTCCCACGCAAACCACAGTCATTGTCTCACTTTTGTTATCGTAAATAACTGACATCACAACAGCTGAATCAGGAAGCTGAGGTTACAGATATTTTTTTTTTGTACTTGAAAGGGAACTGTAAATAGACAGGGAGAGAGGGAAGGGGAATCCAACCACTTCAGAAATATGCTGAATGCCCCAATAACTAGTTTCTTTTGAGAGATGTAAATACATACCACACCCAAAAATGTTCCATGCATTTATGTCAGCAGCAAGCTGAAGTGATACCCAGTTCCTGTGGGGTATTACGTGTGTCCACAGAGGTACATCTTAAAATACCTTGTTCATTTCTGTACTTATATGCCTTAAAATTGTTCCAGATGCAATGCTGCCTCAGTTTCAATGAGGTAAATTTTCTATTTTTTACAGACTTATCACATTATATCAAAAGGTACATATCTCACCAGCTAGTCACACAACAAGCACAAAAAGGATCATGATCCTTTCACCTAAGAGATAAGTTATGGAAATTAATCTTTTGTCATTCTTGCTTGGCTGACATTTGTCTCTCTCCTTTTGATTTTTATTACCTATACTAATCTCAGCAAGTTAAGAAGTATACTTGATGTTAATGGCAAAGAAGATACCCTACAGGTTTCATTACTGAAGATTTCCTTTCCTTGAAATAATATTGGAAGATCAGGAGGATTATTTGTTTGGTTTCTTTTTTTTAGAAGGAAACATCCTCTAACAATGAAGCCTAGACTAGAAAGAATATGTTTGTTTTATTGTTGTTTTTAATTTTCAAATTTAAACCCCAGAGTTTTCTTGCATAATTGGGAACCTTTGGTTTCAGTGTACATTGTGCGCTGGTTGCAATGTCACCAGCCCTGTAACTAGTACTCGCACATCCACTCCAATGCTGTGTTGCTTGCAGGGCAACAGTGCCTAATACCATGGATATTTGGGCCTAACATGGTTGCTTAGCAAATATGTATGGTAGTTTAAAGTGTTACACACAGCCTGAGCTGCTTTCATGTGCAGTTTAGTGGCTTTGCTCAGACAAACCAGTAGCATGTCTTAAATAGCTGGTGAAGTATTTCATACCAAAAGACCTGATGCCTACTTGAGCGTTCATTTCCGATGAGGACAGTACTTTATGGCCAGAGGTAGGGGGGTTACTTATCTGGCACCTGCTAACACCTTAGATTTCTACTGATAAATTTATGTTCTTCCATTGCTACTCCGTGCCCAATTAAATTGTAAACACCAACAAGCCTCAGCTCCTGTGAATACACAAGCTAGTGCTATTCTGGTTGGCTTCTCTTGGATTCTGAACTGTAGCTGGATCCTATAAAAGGCTCACAGCCTATTTAAAGCTGGCCGAACCTAAATTACTACCAAAAATGTAACAGCTCGTTTTTCATACCTGAAGTCAACTTCATCTGTGCTGTTCAATTCAATAGCAGCACCCTTAGGTCCTCTGGAAAGAAAGCACACACCTTTCTACCTGCTTCCTGCCACCTCATAGCCTTCAATTTAGAGGTCTTGACATTAAATGATTTCATTGTATGAACATTTCTTTTGTATGTCAACATAAATCTTTTTTCAAGTTAGTGTCCTTATCTTTACTGACACTGCTATAGATAACATGGAGGCTTTTGATGAACCATGACTTGCCACTTCGATTTAAGAGAAACCATGAGCATTTCAACACTTGGCTCTTACATTGTGAAGATACATCAATACAGTTGTATTGATGAAAAGAGCTTTTTAGAAATTACTGACATTATTTCCATGTTATGGATGAGGAAGACTGATAGGTAGAGTAATGAAAACACTTACCAATAGTCCAGTTGCAGAGCTAAGTACTTATTTACTTACACGGGTGAGAAGGGAGCCTGGACTTTCTATTGGCTTAACCATTTGCATGCAGGTGATTGTCATGGGAGACAGTGATGAGAAGGAGCTACCAGGGAAGCCCCATGGGCTGTTGACTAAAACATTGAGCTGAGCTCCAAAACATGTTCTATTCCAAGATCAGATATTTTAAAACATAGAAGGAATTCTTCCTGGACTTAAGATACCTCACAGCCTCATAAAACTGTTTACTTGTAGATAGAGTCTGTTTTTAAATGCAGTATGCAATTATTTGGTGCTGAGGAAGAAAGCAATGTTTTTGCTTGGTGCTATCCATGAATACTCTGAGAAAGTCAATCAATAAAGCTCCAGACTTCCTGTCAGACAAAATAATGACCTCTACAAACAGGTTGGTTAATCTTTCCTACCTTTTTATGTAATATAATTTCTCAAAATATTAATTTTACCAGTAAAGTACTTTCTCTTTTACAGCAAAGAATTTAAAATTGAAGGCCTTATTTTCTTTTGCTCGATGGCCATTTTACACTTTCCTAGCAAATAAGAGATATAAAGTATTTTTTTTTGTTACTCATTAAGGTCCCATTTATTATTCATTTGTGGCTAGAGTTGATTTTAAAAACCACGTTTAGCTGTCTTACTAACACAATATACACAAGTCCTTTCTGTAACTTCGACAGAACTAGAGGATATTTGATTGGGATAATCCAAAGTCAGACTTGTTTCCCCTGTAAACTCACTAGCTAAGATTTAAGCTAACTCGCTCAGGCATCAATAGTCATGTAGTTATGACATCATTCAAAAATAGTACAAGTACCTAAGAGAGGAAGTTTAGCAAAACTGTGTAACAGACAATTTTCCCACTGGAACTTCTAACTGAAAGCAACAACAGTGTTGGTAGACAGCCCCTAACTTGAACTCTAGCAAGCAGGCTCTCTATCTGGTGACTAAAAAAAAAACCACAGTATATCTTGGTTACCCCAAAATCATCTCAAAGAATTCTACCCCGTGGAAAAACACCTCTCTCTCTCTCTTTTTTTTTTTTTTTAACTCAGTTGCAGTTTTGATCAAGATTGGTGCTTGAAATTAGCTTTTCTGCAGAATGGAAATTCCACTCCCTATACACCTCTAACCGGGAGGGTTTTGCTATCAAACATTTTAGGACTTTGATATCTCATAAAAGGTACTTCCCCAAGGTACAAGGATAGGCAAGGGTTGTTGCGTTGGCAGGCTTTCTGAGCGCAGCATGACTGAGGCACGCACAGCATCCGTAGTAGAACCATAGCCACCAGAAACTGTCCTTGCAGCCATGCTGAAGTTCTGCTCCTATTACTTTTCTTGGAAGCTCTGTTGTTGACTCCAACCAGGGCTGATTTTAACCACAAAACTATGTGTAGGTGTCAAAAATGTCCATTTTCTAATAGCAAGGTCCACTTTAGCTTACAAGCACAAAGGAAAATGGGTGCTTGGCATAGTCGATCTAACCATAAACCTGTTAGTTACCTAAAGGAAAACACGGGTGTCCCTGCAAGAGGCAGTTAAAGGATTATCCAGCTACAATAGGGTTGGTTTAATCCTAACTTTTATCACATAGAGGTTGTCTTAGGAACATGAGAATTTAATGATACGTTGCAAATTACCTCACTTTTGATTCAGTCACTTAAAACTCACTGATACAATTTTAAATTTTATTTTATTTTATTTTTGTGAGGGGAAATGCATTGCCAAGCGGGTTTCTGAGATTTCCAGCTTCCAGTATGTTTCTGTACCAGCTCTCTGGGACTGAACAGCTCTTTCATGAATCCAAGCAACCACTGGCAGTGGAAATTTGGGAACACACATTGTGCTACTCCTTTGCTCTGGCACTGCCATTCATCCAGTACAGGTAATAACTGAATGACTGTGCAGGTAGGAAAGGCAAGGTTCCAGAGAGCAATGGTAGGTGTGGCTGGATTTGTCCCAAGAGCTCCATGTCCTGTTGGAGTTGGAACCCAATGAAACCCATGAAGCTCTGGGTTCTCCCTGTGCATGCCTAAGCCAATTTGTGCAAGCGGCTTGGAAGGACAAGCATAGCTATAGAGCCCCACCCTGCATAATACTTTTGATTTTGTTCCACTCTCAGGAGGGAAAAAAAATCCAAAGGCAGGTGAGTCTCTTGTGCCTGCTGTTGTCTATTAGTATGCAGTTCTTATCAGCTGGGTTACCTTAGCAACTAGGCTGTATTTAGCTTTATGAGCTGCCAGATTTGTTTCTTCCCCATTAGCAATGTGAGGAAAAGCCAGGTAATGCTTAAAGTGTATGGAGGTACATTGCCTACTCCTGTGTTGGTTTGGCCCCTAAAACTATTGACTGCTGTCGGAATGAAGACAGGCAAGATTCTTACCCCACCAAAATCATGAAAGAGATCGCCCTCCAGCTCTGCTTCTGACTTGCTGTCCATCTCAGTCCCTCGGTGTGCCACAAGCCCAGAGAGTATAGGGACATAGCATGAAACCCACAGGTTTGTATAAGCGACCTCTCAATATAAATAATTTGATTGCCAAAACTGAAAATGCAGTCCCCTGCCTGTTGAGAGCACATCAGCCATGAATGACT